GACTGAGGAGGTGAGGGAGGATGGGGGGAGGAGGGGGAGAAAGGAAGGGTCGGGGACAGGAGGGAGGAGGAGGGAAGAAGGTAGGTAGAGTGAGATCTTTTGCCATCTGCCTTTTTTAATTTACTACTGACAACAAAGGACTGAGTCAGCCAAATTGCTTTTATAATTAGACTCATTAGAATATATTTGTTTTTTTTTTTCGTAGGGAGGGATCAACATACATATATACACATACATATATATATACATACATGAAGATATACATACTTATACACAGTCTTTATTTATCTTTTTATCCTTTCTCTGTTTGTCTCTTGTCTGTCTATATGCCTGTCTGTCTGTCTGTCTGTCTCTGTCTTCTTGTCTGTCTGTCTGTCTATCTGTCTTCTTGTCTGTCTGTCTGTCTCTGTCTATATGCTTGTCTGTCTATATGTCTGTCTGTCTCTGTCTCCTTGTCTTGTCTGTCTGTCTGTCTGATTGTCTGTCTGTCTGTCTGTCTTCTGGGCTATAGACTTACAATTTTTACATTTCGGCCAAAAAATGGATTTTGTTCAAAAATTTCAGTATAGGTACTCCTGAATGTGCCTTAGGATCTAACCAGAATTTGATATCTTGATTATAACTTGTTCAAATGGCTTTTAGAAATGTTCAAATGATTTTTAGAATATTTTAATTACTTTTGCAATGTAATTACTCACGCCATATGGTTTCGAGGTCATTTCTTGGTGCTTGTGTATTATTCTGGATGTACTTAAATAGTTAGGCACATTAAATTTTAGTTAGAAGAAAACATGATTAAAAAAAAAAAAAATCAACTAAATATAGACTTACAATTTTCTTCATTTTCGGCAAAAATGGATTTTGTTCAAAATTTTATAGGTACTCCTGAATGTGCTGCAGGATCTGTTATCCAAAATTTGATATCTTGATTATAACTTGTTCAAATGGCTTTTAAGAAAATGTTCAAATGATTTTTAGAATATTTTAATTACCTTTTCAATGCTAATTACTCACCACTTATGGGTTTTCAGGGTCATTTCTTGGTGTATTATTCGGATGTACTTAAATAGTTAAACATTAAATTTTAGTTCAGATCTCATTTCTTGGTGCTTGTGTGTGTGTTATTCTCTGGATGTACTTAATAGTTAGGCACATTAATTTTGATTCAGAGAAAACGTATTTTGGTCAAAAATCCTTCAGGCCTATAGACACAATTTTCTCTGTTTTCAGCCCAAAAAAATGGATTTTGTTCAAAATTTCAGTATAGGTACTCTGATCATGCTGTAGGATCAGTAACCAAATTTGATATCTTGATTATAACATTTCAGGAAAATGGCTTTAGAAAATGTTCAAATAGATTTTGAATATTTTAATTCTTTTGCAATCTTCAGTACTCTTATAGGGTTTTCGAGGTCATTTTCTTACAGCTGTATTATTCTGGATATACTTAAATAGTTTGACTGTGTAAATTTTAGTTCAGAGAAACGTATTTTGGCCAAAAAATCCTTTGCAGGCTATAGACTTACAATTTTTCGTCCTTTCAGCCAAAAATAGTTTCAATTCAAGAAGAATTTCAGTATAGTACTCCTGAATGTGCTGCTTAAGGATCTGTTAACCAAAATTTGATATCTTTGGTATAACTTTGTTCAAATGGCTTTTGAAAATGTTCAAATGATTCTTAGAATACCTAGTACTTTTTGCAATGCTAATTACTCGCCACTTATATATAGGTTTTCGAGGTCATTTCTTGAGTGCTTGTGTATTATTCTGGATATTACTTAAATAGTTAGGCATTAAATTTTAGTTCAAGAGAGAGAAAGCATGTTACAGGTAAAAATTCCTTTAAGGCTATAGACTTACAATTTTTCGTCATTCAGCCAAAAAAATTGATTTTGTTCAAATTTCTAGTATAAGTACTCCTGAATATGTAGCAAGGATCTGTTAGCAAAATTTGATCTTGATTATACTTGTTCAAATGGCTTTAGAAAATGTTCAAATGATTTTGAATATTTTTGTTGTTTTCACCAATACTAATTACTCATATATGGGTTTTCGAGGGTCATTTCTTGGTGCTTGTGTATTATTGGATGTGCTTATATGGTTAGGCACATTAAATTTTGGTTCAGAGAAAACATGTTTTGGTAAAAATCCTTCAGGCTATAGACTTACAATTTTTCTTCATTCGGCCAAGAAATGGTTTTGTTCAAAATTTCAGTATAGGTGCTGCAGATATTAACGCCGGGATCTGTTAAGCAAATTTACGTGTCTTGATTATAAACGTTCAAATGGCTTTTTAATCATTCCAAAATGATTTTAGAATATTTAGTACTTTGCAATGTAATTACTCGCCAT